GTACGCATTTGCGTGTTCACGAAATGTCACTCTTGCGGACCACAGGAAAAACAACACACCAACGGGTGATTCTTTTTCACCGTTTACTCCTCACCGTCAGTCATCATCGAACAACGCGCACCCCGCCCTCAGACCCCGAATTTCCTCAAAAACCAGAACGCATTTACGGCGCACATGGCAACGAAGAGACCGACGCCCCAATGAACGACCGGTTGCAAGCGTCCCTGACACGTGAATGCAAACTTCTTTTTTTTTATTGGTTAAACTGTGGTTGAGCTGAATGATACGAATTATTATTTTACTTAGAATAAAACTGTTTCGCATCATCGTAAGACGTAAGATAATTAAGTCTACAATAACGACTGTAGGTATAGTTTATCTATATCCCAAACATAAAGGTTTGTTTGCATTGATGTTCAATGGCAATAAATTAATAAATAAATAACTCCTGGACACGTTTGGAAATAGCTATCACCATCAATGCAAAAGATATGCATCGATGAGAAATATCTACCCTCTCTTCTGTTGTTGTGTGAGCATATCAGCTCGTATCGGAAGCTGATGCTATTTGAAATGGCGCGTTCCGTTTCGAATAATATCGCCTAGAAAGTAAAGTCTGATGAATATAATTTTTAAACGATACCGAGTATTCCACTGTGTTCACAAGCGCTTTGTCTTTCTCGGTTTAATTTGATCGATCGGGTTTACACACAAGGCTGGTCCCGTCCATCACTAAAAAAGTAAAAAATTCGCGGATCTACTTCCCATACTACGTGCGCACCACCAACATGTTCCGTTAAGAGGCGCACGCGATACGTCTTTTTTATAACACAGCTAACGGACTCCATTCGCCAATGGATTGTAGTACACTTGACACATGTCTTATCAGCATGCGTGAAGAAAATAGGTTCCTCACATCGACTTGGGGCACTCGTGCGCGAATGAGCTCTCCCACTCGCTTGAGTAGAAATATGAGACGTTATTTGCATCTTATCTAATTTAAAACATCGTGCGAGAGTAAATTTCCATGTACCGTGTAAACAGAGAATCCTTCACTTGTTTTCTGGTTCTGATGTTAAAAGACATCGCGAGAGTTCTACTTTCATACATATTTTACCGAGTGACCAAAATGCACGTGTGTGACGGTCGAGTCCTAACTTAAAATACAGAGCACGTCAAAGATTGAATTATTTCGTTGCAATGATTATCGACCTTTATTTTAATGACTGACAAATTGATATCCGAATGAAATACGACATAATACGTTATTTATTTTTTTCTTTTGAACGTCACTTAAATGTCTTATTTGAGGGAACGTTCCTTTTGGCGGAACATTACAAGCGAATCATACAGACCAACTATATACCACGTTTTGACAAGTTCATTGAACAGCTATAAAATAATTTACTAAATACTACAATATCAGGTTATCACAAGTCATATCTCAAGAAATCAGCTAAGGTTCCTATAAATATGGGCACGCTTCAGTGGCTCAATATACTTAAAGACACGCCCTTCCCTCCAGCCCTCGGCGCTCTCATCCTTGCACCCCCCGAGGAGCCACTTCTCCCCCCATCAAACAGACTCCCCCCCCCGCGCGGGCTGCGTGAGGCTGGCTCTATCCTCGCAGTCCCGGCCTCCCCCCCCCCAACCCATTATCGGACCGTCGGGGAAGTGATGGCGGCTAAGCCGCAAGCCCTACGCAAGGGATGGAGCGGGGGGGGGGGGATTGAGGGCAAGCCTGGGGCCTGGTCAATAGGTCATGGGTTCGACCGCAGCGCGGCGTCCCTGCTGCACGCCACGCCACGCCACGCCACGCCACGCCACGCGCGTGGGCGCGCGTGCGCTCGCGAGGGGAGCGGGCGGTTCGGGGGCAACCGATAAAAAGAGAACCCTCCATGCCAGCGGTTACGGGCTAAGACCTCGTCATGTTTTATGAATGCGTTACGAGCGCGCAGTAAACAAATGATGAAGGGGCAGAGAGGGGAGAGCTCCGCTTGATGCGTGAATGTCATGTTCTAAATATTGCATACTTCGTATTGGAATGGGCGGAGAGAAAATTATAGCATGAACTGTTGAGGCAATAAACAGAAAGAAAAAAAGTGGCTAGAAAAAGGAGATAGTCTGGAAAGAGAGAGAAAATGATGTGCGGTAAAATTAACATATGCTAATTAAACAACACATAAAAAGAAATATTGAGAGAACCGAATAGTATTTGCAATTGCTCATTTCATTTGTTGTTTTGAGTCGTATGTCAAATACAAGACATTGATCTAGCCATTACTAATATTTTCGCTTAGAGATTATTTTCATGAGAATATTTCTCAGCAATGCAATTTTAATAATTAGAACACTTGCAATACAATACATTTTCACGAAAGCGCGGTAATGAACGTAAAGTGATATTACGACGAGGAACTGAAAGACCACAGACAGAATATATATATAAGATAAACATGCAATATTATAAAAATTTTAAAAAATGTTTCGACTCGCTACAGCCATTAAGGCAAAAGTACTTTTCAATAAATTGATCCAAGTTTTTATTGAACTACTGCTAATTTTTAACTGCATGATCGGTGTGTGAATTTTTTTAAACATTAATAATGATATTGTGTGATTATTGCCTCAGTCGTTCACTTGTAGACTGATCTTGCGTCTCTACCCACTGTTCTTTAGAGAAAAGCGATACATAATATACACAAAGCATGTCGCCGGGTATTATAACCCGAAACGCATTTCACATTATCTCCCTTAATTTCCTGCATGGATTAACTGGGCGCTGAATGGGGGTACGCTATGAAATATGTAATACTCCCGCGCATTACATATCGAACGAGCACATTTGAATCCCAAAAGAGTCGGAAGTGGGCGGGAAGGGCATATTTTCCGCGAGACTTTTGCAAGTGTGAAATGAGGAAAAGAGCGATATTTTTTTATCGGAATTGGAACTCCAAATGTAAAAGTAAGGCCAATTCTCATGAGTAAAATAACTCTACGATGTATGAATAAAGTCCCGGAAATCCCGGAAACAAAGAAAATTCACCTTTTTTAAAGAAAAGTAAATAATTAGAATAACTATTGAGTTCACGTTACTAGATTTCCAGAAAGAAGTATTCAACGCTTTCACGCCACGTACCACAATATCGTTTTATTATCTCTCTGAAAAAGCATGAACTTTAAATGGAGAACACAGACGAATATTTAGTGACAAATAAAACATAGTAGTAAGTTAACTGACTCATTTTTGCTCTTTGCCAAATATCCATTTTCTCATTGCGAAATAAATGCATAACAAAACAAAACACACGACCAAAATAAATTCAATCACTGGAAATTTATTAACTTAAATTATTTAAAATTTAACGTCTATTTAAACTATGATTCGCAAACAAACGACATTCGGGTACCCTGCGTCTAAAAAGGAACAGAACATGTCCCAGTAACCAACATTAACAAGTACCGCGCGAAGAGGCACTCTATGTCATGAAAACGATGCGCGATCCTATCGAAAATAGAAGTCGTCTGTAGTCATCGCGAGTGAAAGGGCCGAGCAGTCTATCCATCTGTGCGCAGGTACGCGCCTGCCATCTCCCTGAGCGGGGGCGAGCGAGCAACAGGTCCAGACGGCGTCGACGAAAGGTAGGGCGGCGCAGACGTCGGAAATCCGGAGGCAGGCATTGGCGAAGAGAGAAAGAGAGGGAGAGACAGAGAGTGGGGGAGAAAGAAAGGGTAGAAAGGGAGAGAGGGACAGAGAAAGAGGGGGGAGAGCGAGGGGGGAGAGAGAGAGCGCGGGGTAGAGTAAAAGAGAAAGAGAGAACAAAACAGCGGAAACTGAATACTTAAGGTTTGGCGCCCAGTCACGTACACGGCTCAGTAACGATAACGTAAACTTCGTAGTGTGCCTGTAGTAAGCTTTCCTGCCTTCGCAAATTGTCAAATATCTTACGTTGCTATTGTATATCTTGACAGAGAACAGGTTTAAATAGTCGTGAAGTGTTAATTAACAAGTCTTTAATGATTAAAACAGAATACGTATTTTAGAAAACAACGAAATTGAAAATTGCACACAACACTCTCTGCATCTCTAGATTCGCTTAAGGATTGACATTTGCCCTGCCAATTGGCTCTTCCTCAAAAGTCGATTGGAATACTGTGAGGGGAAAAAAACAGCCCCAAGGCATCGCCAATATTGAACACGATATTCCTAGTATCAAATTCCAACTGCTCACGACCAACCCAAGAACTCTCCAGTCCCTTATCTCCTTTCCCTGCGTATCTCGCCCCATTCTTCTCGACCGGTGAATCGTATCTAACGTTTTGAATGTCAAGTGAAATATTTTGTTGATATGTCCCGCGCCCCGAATGTGCGGCTTACATAGAAAATAACGTCTCACACTTTGCAATGTAATGCAATTTTGAATATTGATACATACTGTCATCTACTTACGCTAAAATATTACTATTTTTAACCAGTCTCTACTGTGACAAGACATTGTGAACTACATTGCAAAGGGGTTACATTGTCTTCAATTCACTTGGACTGCCGGAAATAGTTCAAATTATAGATTATTCCATGCTTCATAAATATATTTCAAATTTGCAAGTAAAACATGTGCGTAGGTAATAATTTGTGTTTATAATCCCATACTTTGTTCCGGATTATAAAAACGTTCCCTTCAAGGTAAAATATTTCAGGTATCTGATCTGGAGAATTCCCTTTCCAACTGAACTTCTGAGAGTATCAGCTAGTTGCAGTTGCGCCCCGAACCCTGTCGTATTTCAGTTCCGTCCAACGGAGTCTCATCCACTCGTCCCCACCCGTGCAATCCAGTCCCGTCCAGTCATATCCAGTCCCCTCCCGGCCCCCTTCTGTCCCGTCTCATCCAGTCACATCCAGTCCCGTCCAGTCTCGTCCTCTCGAGTCCCATCTTCTTGAGTCCAGTCCAGCATGTAGAAAGCGCAAAAAAGCTCCCATGCGGAGGCAACGCTGTACTCACCGAAGAGACTAGCTGCGTCGAGCAGCGAGGTGGCGGCGGCGGCGGCAGCGGCAGCGGCGGCAGCCGAACCGTCGCCCAGCTTGTCCGCGCCCCGGGCGCCGTCCGCGTCTTTGTCCATGGCTGCCGCCTGCGGAAAGCACACAGGCCCACTGTACATGCAGTTCGCTTCCAGATGCGCTCATACTCGCGAATATGAGCCTGCGAATATGAATTCCTATCGAAGAACATGCATAACGGTGTTTCTCATGCTAAAGGTCATTTCTAAAAGTATTGATACCAAATAATAATGGTGGGGAATCGAATCCCAAAAAACGATTTGAGAATTGAAACCTCAAATATTCTCGAATTAATACTATTAAAAACAGAATCCTAGCAAACAAACATGTATCATTCTTTTATTTGAAACCATATCTATTCCATCTTCTATAATGTATGTTTTTATATGCTCAGCATTTCTGCTACTTCGATAAAATGTGAAAATATATGTACTTTCCTTGATTTGTTTTGGCATGTATGTCTGATACAATTGCAGCGAAAATCCTCCCGTTAATCGACGACTCCTTCATAATAATTCTCCCTTAGCGAGTTTCCTTTTCATAATGTTGAATTTAATTGTCATTACAATTAATCTACATGAAGTATTCGAAAATAACGAAATAATGAATTGATTTACGAGACACAAAATTAAAATTCGTGATTTTTTTATTTCTCACATCTCTTAAAGAAATTATTTGAAGAAGATATCGTTTGATGAAACAAAACAATTTTAATACATGTATACATTGAAATTGTACATAAAACGCAACTCAGGCATTAAATAAGCGGTTGTACCCAGAAAACGGAGTAGCCCCGACATAATTAATATTTACCAGAATTTCATCTCTTTACAGATAAATGGAGTGACTACTAACATAATGTTAGTTAATTATTGAGCAATTTAGAGCCAAATATTTTGAGGAACACTGTTTGCAAACATTAACGGCACGAAGCAATACAAGGATGCAATGTGGGTTGCCTGTATTCAGGGGTTACTGTTACTATTTTGTTTTACCATTTGTCTTTTTCCTCATATAAAAATTATCTCTCAATTTTAAATTCGTTTTAAGATTACGCATACATAATGTTCTACACACATGTATGCATACATGGATTCGTACATATGCGGCAATGTTTAATCTTATTAAATAATGAGATAATTAATAAATATTGCCACTATTGATTCATTCGGAATCAGTTAACTTCATATAATTAAATCAAATGTGTCTTAAAATATTGAAAGCTGATTTTTAATTATTTCTAACAAATACGTTCATGGAATAAATAGATTTTCCAAATCCAGGTGGACGAGCGGCGTCTAATTTCATTTCTAATACATTATTTCACACGATACGTGAAATAAAATGTTTTAATATCAATTTCTCCATTGAACACGAGTTTAACAACAAATCATGATAGCGAGCTCGAGTACCCAAACTTGCAAGTACGATTAATTATTTTATTCAACACCGGCATTATTTTAGTTTTCGGTGGGTTACATACAAACCACCTATTTCATTGGCCAATTCTCTCGCTACACTGATATATTACCGTTTTGAACGCCCATCACATACTTATGAAAAAAATGTCATCAAAGAAAATTGCTACATAAACTACTGAAACATACGCTGTTTATACTTGCCACAACCATCCAGTAATATTCCCTGTAAATTTCTGCACGATCCTATCGCCCCGCCCTGATTTACCTCTAAGGTTGCGGAAACTGCTGCAGGGCTTTGGCAGGCACATCGCCGAGCGACGCATTTCTCGACATCGCAGGCGAGGGAGGAAGGCTTCTCCAGCTCCGTCTCTCTCGCCCTCGCGAAAGGAGAAGGGAGGAGTGGTGTAGGATGAGGAGGAGGCGCGGCATGGCGGGCGACCAACTTTCAGGAAGGAACCGCCGCGCCGTGAGGAGAGAGGGGCGCCGAGGTGGAGCGCAGAGGGCTCGGGTGGAGGAGCTGCGTCTGATGGGATGGGATGGGATGAAATGAAATGGAATGGAATGGGGTGAGTGGGTGGGGCGAGTGGGAAAGGAGGACGTGAGATATGATGGGTGAATAGGGTGAGACAGTTTGAGGTTGGATACGAAGAGGTTGGATGGGATGGAATGGAATATGATGGAATGGGATCGGATGGGATGGGATGGGATGGGACGGAACGGAATGGGACGGAACGGAATGAGACGGAATGGAATTGGGATGGAATGGATTGGAATTGTATGGCATGAGATGGTGGAGCGAGTGTGGTGGGTGCGTTGGATTGAGACGGGTTCAGGTGGAGTGAGGTTGGAAGGGGTGAAACGGAGTGACCCGGGACGAGATGGAGGTGGGGTGAGTTCGGCGGCAAGGATGAACTTCGGGGCGCGGTGTGGTGGAGCGAGCGAGCGACCGACCGACCGACCGAACGAACGAACGAACGAACGAACGAACGAACGCCTCGCCCGCGCCTTCTCCGCGTACGGGAAGCCCGCTGAGGTCGCCGGGTCGGAGCGTGGGCGGGGTTGCGACGAGAAAGGGAAGGAGAGCACAGAAAAGGGGAAGGGTGGCCAGGGGGCGGGGCTCCGAGGGCGAGCGGATCGAGGAGCGAGCGAGGCAGCCCAGCGCGTGGGAGCGAAACGGCGAACGGATTCGGAGAAGATGCATAGAGCGCCGCGGCGGCGGCGGCGCACGGGGCGGCGACGCGGGAACGAAACTAATGGACGCGCCAGAGGGCGGAGAAAAGAGGGGGGCGGAAGATCACGAAGGGGAGGCTGCGAAGACTGACGCCACGACGACACAGACGGCCATGACAGCGACCGTCGTCGTCAGGACGAGCAGGGATGACACCGGACGAGGACGGGAGAAGCGTAGGTGTCGCGCGCGCAGCTGCAAACTGGGGCAGTTGGAGGACGCCTGGAGGACGGCAAAAGGCGCGGGGGGTGAGTGTCTAGGTTTCAATAGAAGCGGCGGGCCCGGGGCCGAGGTAGAAGCCGGGGTTGGGCTGAACCGGGCCAGAACGAGGCGGGAACGGGCTCCGGAGCGGGGCCGAGCGGGGGCGGGGCGTGCACGAACCGCAGTGGACGGAAGGAGAGCAACTTTGTCTCGACAGACGCACCGGACGGTGAGTGACGGGGAAAGGGCGGGGCATGGAAAGAAACAAAGAGCGTCTCGCCTAGCAAAGTTCTCTCTCTCTCAGATTTCACTTTAAAATTCACTGAAGTTCGCACGAGGAGATTTTCTATTCGTTAACCAGCGCCTAATAATACACATTACAATAGTGGTAAGAGTATGACAACCGTTAAATCTGAGAAAATTCAACACGAAGTGTAGACTGGTTATCCGAGATCATCTTGTTTGGCTGGCTAGTTAGAACGCACTATTTTATACTCGCTGCTTCACGCCCACAATGCACAGTCTTAACTAAAATAGACGGCACTAAAACTCCTGAAATGAGAACTTGCTAAACGCATTTGTAGCCAGTGTTTCTGGCTAAACGCGTTTTAAACAATTCTATTCATATAATCTTTCCACTACCACTACATTTGCATTCCTACTTCCAATATTTTGCTACATAGTTCCATATACAAGAGTGACGATAAACAGTGCACATCGAAGATGGAATAGGTCAGAGACGAAACTTAGAACTAATCGAGCCTTACCGCAGGAAATTCAGGAACACACAACACGGAATAAAGCCACATCAGTGGTTTAAAGATAAGAGACGTATAAATAAGGCACACAGCTCTGAGTAGTGGTTCTGACTGCGGATGCAATTTAATAAATGAAAATCAATCATATAATAAGTTTAATAAAAATTAAAACATACTAAATTTCGTTGTTTTATTGCCGGTGCACTACAATGTATTTAATTATCATTTTTATTGTACGTTTGTGCTCTGTAATTATGTTGTCATAATCTGTAATTAAATTTGCAACATCAAACTGCAACTGTTTGGAGTCAATTATTCCCAACCGATCGTGTTTTTCATTTAATTTCCCAGTGATGCTTGAAGGAAATATACTAGTAATGTTGATATTTCAGCCCTCTTCTGCAATGCTATGGATTGCTTCTAACTGCAATCGATAACAATAATTAATTTTACAATCAAATAACACTTTTAAGAAATTTGTTCAGAACCATAAGCCAAATTGTCACCTGAAATAGTGATCATTATCAAAACATTACATCTGACACGATCGTTGGCAATGGTGGTAGGAGGCACTCCTGTATTTAAAACACACGACATCCTCATTTATACATTTACAAGCAACGGACGTACGAACCGCTTTTCCAGAATTCATAGGTGTTAAAAATACACGACCTTTCGAGCTCGCAACGGCAGCACAAAGGTTAAGAACGGCCGAACGGACACAAAGTCGTCGAGAGTGCATCGGGTTCCGGGTCGACGTTGCTACGATGTGGCCAAGGGATAAGGAGGGGTTTCAGAAGGCAGTGGACGGTGTAAGGGCGGGTGGAGACGACCGCAGGCAGTGAGAGAGGAGATAACTGGATGGGGGATCGAGATCCGAAGGGTGGGATGAGAGAACGGTCTATGAATGTTGTACGAGGAACGAACGGTGGCGAAGGTGGTTAAATTCGGGGGAGGGCGGTAGATGAAGGACGGGGACAGCGAGCGGTGGAAAGGACAGGAGGACCGGGAACGGGATGGCCGAAGGACTACACTGACAAGGACTGGACACTACAAACGGAGGAGGTGAGAGGATGGTGCGTGGCGGGATGGGTTGGCGCCGGTACCGGTGGGAGATGGGACGGTTGGGCGCCGGTACCGGTGGGTGTCGAGAAGGAGGAACGCTGGTACCGATAAGTGGCGGGTCTGGTAGGCGCCGGTAGTTGTGGGTGACAGGACCGGCGAGTTCCTGAAAAGGTGTATGGATGGGTGGGTGGGTAGGTGTGGCAGCGGGTGGAGAGTGGCGGGCTGAGGGGGGAGGAGTACCGCCCGACTACAGCGGCGCCGCGGGGCTTCGCGGCTTAGCCGTCGTGACGCGCCGCCACCTCCCGTTGCGTCATGCGGCGCCGGGCGCTGCCAACCCGGCGGGCGACCGAATCGACCAGAGTCGTCCTTGGGTCCTCTTGCGCCCCCGGCCAATGATG